GTTAAACATGATCTAAAACAAATGTTGAGGTCTAGGGTAAAAACGCTTCTCCCTTTTCCAACAGATTTTTTCATGTATGTATTGGCAATTATATATCATTGGTATGTCACAAGGATATATGAAAGATTTTCTTATTGTAGTTCTAGTATATTTTGTAAAAACGCAATACATAGATGGTTGCCAAAATGTATCAAAGAAAATAATATTCACATGATTTGTAACAATACCTATATCGGGTTTCACGCTTTAATCCCGTAGGGATTATTATACAAGCTTTTTCATCCTACAAAGACTTTCTTGGAGAAATTGAAAGAACGACGAATAACTCATATAGTAATGCACTACTTGTTCATTATTTAGCTTCGGACACACAGATGAGCGACAAAAATCAATTAAGCTTGAAACATCTACGTACAAATTTATTGTTGAAAGTTGTCTTAACAACTAGCAGGAAAACTTTCTGATCGAACAATTATAGACAATAAAATATATCTTTTTACAACATTCTGTATATTGATATTAATACGCTTAAATATATTCAAATGACGACTTCGAATAGAGACTTTAAATATTGTCTCTTATCTCGTGTGATAGTTCATGGTAGTCTGTGATATATCTATAATATCTAACTTTTCTTGCACATGCTCGAATAGTAACTAAAATAAAAGTTTACGGTTTTGACGGTTAATATACAGACTTTTTAATTTTTACTTAGTTTCGACAAAGTGATAAAATATTTCGTGAATTGAATTTTCTATTTATTGATTTGGTTGTTTATAATCATTAGATTAAGTGAAAAATACAAAATAACATACTTAGTAGCTTTCCTTGTTTGATATTTTTTTGTCTTTTTCAAAGACAGAAACTGACTAAATTTTGTTTTTAGAACGCAATTCGTTGTTTTACACTGAGATGGAACATGACTGTTTTTTACATGCAATTATCCTACATATTTAGTAACTTCTGATAGTTTTCTTCTCAAAATGAAAGAACATCCATACAAGTTATTAGTTTTTCTCTTCTGAACACTCGTATCTAATATATCAGAATATGAGTTCTAACGGACTCATTCTTATTCAACGGATAAATTATGCTGCCCTATTATTCAATCAAAATATTTTATGCTAACTACAATGTAAAAAAAAGTAGTTATACTACGAAACCTTTGCCAGTGCTCAAATCCTTTAGGGTTTCATATCGATTTACGAAACCTAAAAAAGTTCAGCAAATTGTTTTCTGATCCTTTTTAGGTTCGGTCAATCAATACGAAACCTTAAAGGATCTGAGCGCGGGCACAGGTTTGGTAATATGCCTATTTTTTTTACAGTGTATTACTACCAATATTTTAAATATCTTTATTTTACATCGTCGAGCTCTTCGTTCATTTTCATGTATTATTCAGTATTCAGTATTCTCTATGAATGTTTCACTTGTTCATTGCAACTTTACGTAGTTACGATATTCTATGGACAAGGGTGTATGTGTGTCGACTTGGTAGTTACACTCACACCCGCACCCACACCCAATAGTCTATATTGAGAATAATCATTAAGTAAACGATGACCAATTGTTGATATTATATCAAAATATTTCAATATTGATTCTAATGAATGTTTTATTTTCTATATTGAATTAAAAGCAAAAGAAGAATAAATAGAAATCATAAAAAGAAGAAATATGATTAGATTTTACTATATAATCTTCATCAGACATTGAACAATCAGATTTTTGAACAAGTTGTATGATATTGGTTTGCGTTTGTGTCATTTCAGTGAGAAATATTGGGTGTAATGCGTGAGAACAGATTCTTCTTGGTTCATCTCTTGCTAAAGCAGAAAATTATATTGACGAATACATAACAGTTTGAATTCATTATTTATAAGTCTATCAGGAAATGAAATTGAAATACTTGACCGTACTTCCTCATTTGAAAGTGAATGAAAACTTCTGGCTTTTATGTCAAACAGACCAATGTAAAACGAACTGAAACTAAGACATTCCTGAAATATCTTGATAGTAGACGCCAAATGGCTGAAAAGACGCTTCGTGAAGAAATAATCTAGCGAGTTTTGCAAACATACTTAAAAAGATACTCTTAGGTAAGTCTAGGATAATAATCTACATCATTCTTGATTTGAAAAGAAATTATCATCACTTTTTTTTTCAACCTAAAACTATTGTCTTGATGTTTTTCATGCTATATCGAAACTAGATGATAGATCAGGGCACGAGTAAACAAGAGACTATCAATTTCACGTCCACTCACTTACCCTCGTATTAGCTACAACCAAGATCGAAACTGGTTGTTGAAAATCATTCTAGAGATGCATTTCGTAGCGTTTGCAAGAAATGAAAAAACTTTTCATCACACTGTCACTGTATGAAATAGAGTCTTGCATACTCAGTTAAGCATTTTCAATCTGACACAAGCCTTCATCGATATCAATACGAGGAACACAAAGTATTTGATTAAATTTTACTATAGTGTCTATATTCAGGTTGTATTCAAAGATTTCATCGAATTCCACTTTGTTGTCTTTTGGTACGATTTTCTTTGGAACTGAAGAATATTCGAACGTACAATATGAATTGGTGTCTAGTGAAAATAACCCTCAAAGTAAATGGCACATTGAATAAGAACAGAACCATGGTGATGAAATACACGGTACATCTTTCATAATAGAAGAAGAAACAAAAATCTCATTGGTTCTGAATCAGTACCTTCTCGACGACATCCATCACACATTGAAGAAGTCGTACGCCAAAAAAAACTATCATTTTTTTTCTTTTCTTTTGCGCATCGTGAAGAAAAATATAACAAAACTCAACTTTATAATGTCACCTTCAGCCAGAAAAGAAAAAGGCTGACTGACTCTTTATAAGTATCTTGGACTTTTTTTCTGTTGAATTTCCTTTCGTTTTCTGTTTAAAATTTTTTTGATTGAAAACATGGGTTGTGGTGTAAGTTATAACACCAGCGGATTAACTATTGAATTGTATAATCAAACACGAGAGAACTCCATTTATTTATCTGGTGAAGATATCCACTGTGTTGTTCAATTTAACAGTTTCGAATGTGATCCCGAGTTGAGATTAAAAGGCGCTTTTATTGAATTAATTGGTCAAGTTATTTATACAACATCGTCAACATATCGTGATTATAATGGTAATATGAGAACTACACAAACCATTCATAGAATTCCATTTCTTTGTCAACATAAGAATTTCTATCCTGATTTAACACCAGTAAGATGGCTATCAATTAAAAAGTAAAACATAAAGGGAATTATTGTATTATTTGATCTTTAGGATACTCCAATGACGATATCCGATTTTCGATCAAGTGATTTATGGTTATTTAAATTTACTCTTCCACATGAACTTCCTCCATCACTTCCTCCTACTGGATACTCTAAATCACAAGTGATTTATTTTGTACGTGTTCTACTCGAATGTGATCAATGGTATCATCCAAATATTCGTCATTCTATTCCGATTACCATTTATCCTCGGAGGGATGTTCCATATGATAGTATTCGTCATCCCATTGAATCTGAATATACCAATCGAAAAAATATGAATTTGCACGTAATCATCATTGAAAATATTCTCTTTCCTGGCACTCCTTTTCCTATTCAATACGACCTTCATAATCCTAGTTATGCAACTGTTCAATCTATTCTTGTTCAATTGTATCAATATCGACAGATGGGTTCCAGTGGACCTACGAAAAGTCTAGTTTTCGAAATCAAAATACCCGATATTCAGGAATTTTGTCAAGAATATTATCATGGAGAATTACAATTGATTGTACCGTTTCGATTTCTTCCGCCTACTTCTTTTCATCGATTTGATGCTGATTCAAGATTAATGGAATTTGATCCAACTTCAATTACGTACAAACTCGTATTCGAAACGCAAATCAGTGGATTCTTCACAGATTTTTCGCTTAAAGTTCCTATTACTATCGGCATAGAAGAAAATGATAGATCATCGTTACCACCTTCCTATGAATCTCTCATGAAACAGTCTTAAAAAAAGATGTTTTTCGAATTCGATTTAGTGAAAATATTAAACAGATTTCTAGAAAGAAACTTTTTATTCATCATTCAGTGTAACACAATCAATAGTCTTACTAATAGAACAGTAATGAAACAGAAAAATCATCATGTCAAAACAGAACTTTGACTTCTGAATATCCACTCTATTTAAATAAAATATGATGTTGCACATCTGAAAATAGATGATCTGCTAACAAATCAAAGAAATGTATCCCTTTCTTTTCGGTTAATTGTGAATAGATTCCAGAACAATATCTAAAATGATGCGTGCGATACTAATCTTTCATGCGCGCACACTTACACCTCATATTAACTTAATAATTCGTTCTCAAAAGAAAAACTGTAATATAATTGACTGTTACAGCCCAAATCTCATATAAATTTCAATAAAAATTTCGAAGAGATTTAGCACACATCCTCGAATACATCTACAGAATCTCTCTATTTATTCATATTAAGATGAAAGTCTTGGCCAAGATAAAAAAAAACTGGGTCTAGAAACAAGAATTGGTAGCATTCGAAACAGATAGAATTGAGATTAGAAACGTAAATATATGACGTTAGATTAAAAAGAAACTCTTTATCTTCACTCAGAATTCTCGATGAGCACTACAATCCTAAAATGACATTATCATTACACATTTATTCTCGCTAGCCAACACTCACTATTGATATAAAAGATCATAAAAAAAGAATCTTGACTCCCTATTCCATTGTTTTAGAATCTTTCAAAAAAAATGGGTCATATTAGTGGAACAGTAGGTGTGGGTGTTTGAATCGTCACTAGCACCCCCCCCCCCCGCCGATCCACCCACACTTGATTTTAGAAATGGCACAGCCATGTGTGCAAATATTTGCTTAGACAACCGGTCCCGAAGCCTCGATCTCACTGTTGCTGATTACCTGGTACCTTTTCTTTGACTTGGACCATTGCTTATTTGGTTTCAATTAATAGATCTGGCCGACTTCTATCTGACACAGTTTATTTCACCGGTAGCAGAATAATCTGGGCGAATATTTGCCAGGTTCATGAGTACTGAAGGCCGTTCTCGCAGGTTCTGCCTTCTGAGTGTGGCTAGACTTAAGAGTTATTCTTTCTATACTCACATCCACATGCAGAACGGTAGCAATAGTCATGTGCGTTCCTCTTCATCATAACCAGAGCATTCCATTTTTTATTCACTCATAGTACTCGGGTTCTGTCTCTTTTCTCACACCTGCAATCAATATTTGATAGTTCTTTAAGCTCATCAGTGTTAGAGTTTCTTCTCTGAGAAGCAAAAAGGCATGAAAAACAAGTAAACTTGAATGTGGATGTTAAACCATCTGAATGCTCACAATCACACCCCTGTCTACAATTCTTTTATATATTTTTCAAATATTCAAGTCTTTTATTTGTTTTTTTTTCATAAAGAATCAGCTGTAACATCAATGCAATTTCGTAATTTTTCTCTGTATTCATTAATGTTTAGGATATTAAACACTTGTATTTATAAGAAATGTTGGAATTATTCTGTCTCTGATGAAAATTTTTCCGCATTCATGCATATTGTTATATATGGTTCATAAAATTTTTACTAACGTACCCTTGACTGTAAGTAATAAATGGAAATTATGCTTACCGAAACCAATGTTCATGTTGCTTATGTCAACACTTTAGTTTTTTGCTGTGATTGCAGAGTCACACTTTAAATATGTATCTGAAATTATGTATTTTCAGTCAAGTGTAGCAAAAAAGTATGAAAGATTTTGAAACGCAAACAATGTTCGTTGTTTTTCCACTATGCTCCATTATTTGACTCATTGTAGAAAATCTAAGGAAAATAATAGTTGTTGAATAAATTTGGAGAGAGTAACAGAATGCAAGCTATCAAAGACTCGTAAGTCTAATGAAGAAATAGATTATGAGGGTGTGGGTGTGAGTGTGAGTATAAGAAAGAACTACACCTACACCCACACCCACCCACACCACATCCACACCCCACCCCGTACCACGACTACGGTACTTTGTATCATGAAAATGGTCGTTTGTACCAAGTGTTACAGACAGAGAGACACAGGTGAATTTCCATTTCTAGACCCTATCCTTTCAGTCCAGGGAAAATAAAAACAATATATATATAAATTTATATAAATTAGAGATACTTACTTTTAAAATATCATTGCGATGAATCTGAACAAAAGAAAAGGATATACAAGATTTAATACTTACAGTATTTGGACTTTGATGCTGAACTATATAAAAAAAAACAATATATATATATATTTATATAAATAAGAGATATTTACTTTTACCATATCGTTCCGATGAATCTAAAGAAAAAAGCTGTTAGTGCAATCCCTTGCGGAATTAGGGTTGGCACTTTAACTTTATTTTACTTCAATAAAGTAAAGTAAAGTAAAGTAAAGTATCTCTACCTTTACCGAACAAGTAAGATGTAATTAAAATAAGATAAAGTAAAGTATATTGTTGATGGTTATTGATTCATTAGTTTATTATCAGACATTAATCACATTTTAATACATCAAAAGTTGTGTTGAATTACGGATCGAAGGTTCCGAAAAATGTGAACCTAATTTTATTCCATTGAGAGTCAGCATTGAACCCTGAATATTTTGCATGATTTTATTTTCTACTCCAGCTCAATCATGCTCGGTCGTATACGGCCGTATACCAACCAATTATGGTGTATAACAGCGGCTGTTTGCGTCAACCACACACAGCAATCGTAAACGATGCTCTACGTCGAATTACGGCCATCGTAAACAATGACCCTAAAATGTCGCCGTTAACGACTAGCGTAATAATACGGTGACCGCATACGCTGTTCTGAAAACATCGTAAGGTATGGTATACGTCAGTTGTTTGCGGTTACCGTTTACAACAATTGTAAACGATGGTTCACGATGAATTATGGTCATTGTTTACAATGACTGTAAAAGTCGACGTTAATGGTCAGAGTAACAATACGGCGGCTGCATATGCTTGCTGGATAATATCGCAAGATATTGTATGCGTCAACTGGAAATGACTGAAGAAAGTATCACCGCTCTCTATTATACTTCGTTGTAAACAACTGTTTACGCTGACGAACAGCTCTTATCGAATATAAGCAACATGTACTTGTGACCAGCTATACATGTCGCCATGTAAGAATAGTTGTCTTTCAACAAAGTCGAGAAGGATGTGGGTGTGGATGGTTTTGAATTCGTTTCAAAAATGGTTCCGCATGGTATCAACTTTTTTCAGCGCTTGGTGCGGATGTGAGTGTGGATCGGTGTGAGTCTCCTCTTCATCTACAGCCACGTCCCACCCCCACTCAGTGTTGTCCTTAATTGCTGCATAATCTACAACACTGCAGCGGTAAAACAAAGTAAGCAAACTTTTTCAAAGGTATGAGTGAATAGCATAATGAGAAAAAAAAGCAACAGACTATGTCAACTGACAATCATTAAAAAAAGACAACAATCATCCAACGACAAAAATCCAAACTAAGCGCTAACGAACTTTTCCAAATCAAAAATTCTATCAAAACACGAGCAGATTATTTCCATTGAGTTACTGTCTACGCATAAACTTATATGTATTATTTGTATGTCAACGTTTGATTAAGGGTGTTGGTTGGGCGTGGGTGTTAACCAGGTCTTCCCAACAACATCCACACTCAACCACACCACACCTACACCTTTTTCGATTACTTAAAGTATATTAATAAATTAATAGAAAATAAAATAGAAAATTATTCTCAGATTATCATAATGTGTAAACGTCTAATTAATAAAATCAGATTGATTTTTTCAAATAATTTGAATTGACTTATACCTTTAACATATCTATGATTAGAAGAATCAAAATAAAATATCTAACCAGTCAAGAGATCCAGCACTATTTCATGTTGAACATTATATAAAGCAAGTCCAGTTAAATTAGGATAATTCGTAGCAAGTAGAATGCGCTTGATTGAAATTTGTTCAAGATTAAGCCATTTGACTTTATGATGAATTTTAGGTCAGATGCATAAACAAAATCGATCAAGTATGTAATCCGGTAATAGACCAATAAAACCATCTGTTGCAGATCTGTACAAAATCAAACGATTTGTGAAAGCAGTATCACGTGCAATTTTATTTAATCGTTTATTAACATCTATTAAGGAATAAAGTACTCCCATATTAGTCAATTTCTTAAAAATAATCATAAGAATTTCATCAGGTAAATCATTCAATTGAATACATGAATTTTCCATTTTTATATTCATATATTTAGACACTGCTGGCAATGATTTTGTTTATATGTAAAAGAATTTTTTTTTGTGGTTTGAGTTGATAATCACTCTATTCAAGTTCGAAGTTCACATTAGATGAAATTATAAGTTCGATAAAAAAATTTGTCAAAGTTATTTCAGTTGAACTAAATACCAAATAAATATCAATTAGTTTATGATATTAAAAACAGTCTGTAAAATTCTAGTTCAGTTTTCATTTTAAAAACATTTTATCACGAATAAACACGAAAGAAATTAGCCAGAAAAATCAAGAATTAGTTTTTTATATTAGTTTGTATGATTATGAATCTACACTTATGGCACATAGGTGTGTAACTAATGAAAGAGATCCCTATAGAATGGTAGATCTGATTTAAGCAGTACACAACCGTTGAATTAAAATATCTCTTACAATACATTTTACTCCGAGATGATTTCCATTTTTTATTTTAAGTCTTTGTTTTAATTTTGGCATAAAATGCATGACTAAAGATGAAGATAAATGAAGCGCCTAGCTGGAAGAAAAAACGAAGAGAATATTATGACAAAAAACCTAGTTCGAGATACAGCAATCGTACTCCCAATTTTGATTTTCCTCTAATACGGTGAAAATATGCAATATGCTCCAAAACAGATCAGAGTCTTTCAAAATAAATATCAAGTTTCAAAATATTAAACTGTATAAATTCTCAGCGATCGCGTTCCTATG